AGCATGGCGTTTGCAACGCCAGGGTTGTGGGTTCGATTCCCACGGGGGGGGCAGTATAAAAAAAAAATATGTATTCACTAACTGTAAGTCGCTCTGGATAAGAGCGTCTGCTAAAATGACTAAAATGTAAAATGTAAAATTTTAAACGCAATGAGGATGGAATGCTGTAGTTCCCGTTGTAATAGGACAATAAATGAGAATCACACAATGGTCCTAAGTGGCGGGAGGGATGTGGGGTCATTCCACTGCGAGTTCAGAGGGCCTCGTAAACACATTCACACCTCTCTTTCATTTAAATGCGGGATAAGTTATAGCACATTATTGAAAAATCGAGTTCCACACCAACCTGCATTTCAATGCTGTCTGGGAGAGCGAAGCCCAATCCACAAACGACGTGGCCTCCAACATAACCACAAAACAAGGGAAGACGAAAAGAGTAACTCGGCACACTGAATTGTGTTAGAATTGTGTTCTTAAAATACATGACACACACACTCTTTCTCAACTCTAGACAAAGGTAATACAACAAAAACAGCAGCAAATATATAACTAATATGAATAATTATAATAAACGAATTAGTGATGGTTACGCCATTAATAATAATGGAAAATAATATGTAAAAAGACTGATCTATGAATAATAAAAAAATTGATTTAAGAAAAAATAGCTTCCAATGAGAAATCCAGTAGGCCTATTCTCCCAAGTAGGGGCGGCAGGTAGGCTAGCGGTTAAATTGGGGCCAGTAACCAAAAGGTCCCTGTAGCTCAGTTGGTAGAGCATGGCGCTTGCAACGTCAGGGTTGTGGGTTCGTTTCCCACGGGGGGGCAGTATGAAAATGTATGCACTCACTAACTGTAAGTCGCTCTGGATAAGAGCGTCTGCTAAATGACTGAAATGTAAAGGTCGCTGGTTCGAATCACTGAACCGACTAGGTGAAAAATCTGTCGATGTGCCCTTGAGCAAGGCACTTTAATCGCTCTGGATAAGAGCGTCTGCTAAATGACAAAAATGTAAAGTAGCCTAGGCTATTTTTGTGAACTTGAAATATACCTGCATTTAAGGAAATATCCCTTAACGAATTGCTCCAAATAAAATGTATATACAAAAGTGTCTAAAATGGTAAAAACAAGTCCATGTAGCCTACCAACTCCCACCCAAGCACCATCATTTATGACTAGAGGAAAACATTCTCCAAACTGATGGTCTCTCAAAAATTACCCTATCAGGTGCAAACCGTTGACAAGTTTCCACCCACCAACAACAACAAAAAACTCACTGTGCCCAAATCCTTAGCCGCAGACACTCTACTGACAGGCATTACACCATCGCCCCTGCTACGAAGATCTGGCGCTGCGTTTGATTCAGATGTAATATTTATACTCTCTGGATATCATTGAAGTTTTATCACAGCGTGAGGTATTCCCAATAACGTTTTTTATTTTCCTATTCGATCTTACGCACTTGTCCCCTTTTGCCCTTTTCTCACTCTGGAGTCGGAAGATTAACATGATATATGTAAAGTGTAGATATCCCCAGGTACGGACGGAATTGAAATACATCTGATCTTTGGAGCAGCACCTTTGGGAGCAAAGAGGGTGCGCGCAATGGATTTTTAAACAAGGGAAAATCTACTAAGCAATGGTTGCAAATTGAATCTTTCCGCGCTTAGCAAGATACCGCTGTCTGCACAGACCGTGAGAGCGGAGCGAGGAGATTTGGAGGGGGACAAGAAACAATAGGCTACATTTTCCCCTCTGGATCAGATTTTTTTACAACAAGGAAGCACCTAATGTTGCATTCAGTGACATTGTTGCACTCCAGTTATTTATCATTTCACTGGGATTCAAAGGCACCTCCGGAATTGTTTGCGTAGCTTAAGGACGCTGGCGGGTCAATCCTCAACTTCTCTCGGGACTTTAAAACTGTGGAAACAGGTGTATTTCAGCAAGTCAAGATGTCTCTTCTGCCTTCGAGGTTCATATACCTGTAAGGATTCCATCTTTCTATTCCTTTCGTTTCTCAAAACACGTACATTCTTACCAATAGAAGTCGCTAAAAGCTAGTTAACTACCCTTGTCATCCAGTTAGGCTATAGTGTTTATATTTCATGTAATTGCTTGTGATTAACCCCCTCCTCCCCTTCTCTCTCCAGGTGTTTACATTTTCTGGTCCTCTATTTCCAGCTCCAGGTAGGTTGATTCGATTGTTCAGTTTTTGGACAGTGTTTGTGTGTGTGTGATTTTGCAGCACTCATTCTAGATTTATTACGAACAAATCGTTATCATATAATTGGATACTTGCAAACTGGAACATACGGCGCGCTGGTTATTTTTCTCAGATTTGATTAATTAATTTGTTATATGACTTTAATGACATAAGATTAACACAATTCCCTAATTAAAGTGTTATTGTTCATTTAATTAAAATACAAGCATAGTAACTCTACCCTCGTTTAAATATTATATTTATGGTAAGGAAATAGGTTTGTAATGTAGAAGAAACTATCCTACTGCGCACCTTACTCTAATGAACGAGGAGTCATCGAGTGCATCAGATTAGACATGGAAAGAACTGACATGTAGCCTGAAGAAATTTAAAGGACATTTAGATCAGGATCATTTGCGATTTTGATCATTTTCAGTGTCGTGGATCAATTCGGTAAAAATATAAACTCCACTAATCGCGCGCCTTTTACGCATGTGATTGATTTGTTGAATTGGTTGTCTATAGCCTACCTTTCATGCTCAAGTCAAAATCCACATGATGTATTATTATGTAAAGTAACATTCTACATGTAGTTTGATTCAATTGCTCAACTGTAGCCTAATATTAACAATTAATGTATTTCCGTTTTGGGCATGGTTGTAGGCTATTGGTTATTTTTAGTACATGATATGTGACATATGAACAAGAATGTAAAACATCTAGACATTTGACATTATGTATTTGGTTTAAATTAATGTCAGATATTAAGGGTAGTTAGGAAACCACCATGTTATATTGCTGGATACAGTGAGAGGCAGTGGTTAGCCCACATCCTGCTTCCATGCCTCTGTTATTGGGGTTAGTTTTATAGTCTAGTCAGTATCATATACCAGGTTGATGCCAATCAAACCTCTCCGGTATTACAGAGAAATACTAGAATTGTTTCACCTTTTTCACTCTGTCTCCAATTTAAAGCATATATGAAAATTACAAAAAGATTGCTGTCTATTTATACAGGGCTAAGTATTTACATACAATGCGCTCAATCCTTTCCCCTCTGATTGACGTGATAAGATATCATGAAATCTAGTTTGAAATGTTCAAAAATCCTTTGGATTGAAGATGAGGATTAAGATTTTCAAAAAACCACTCATGCCAACCTAATTATTGATGGAGAGGCCAATCCATCCAATGAGGCAGCAATAGATGAAGACAGAGAATAGTAGAATCCCCCTTTTACCTCTTGGATATCACATCTCTGTCAGAGACACCACATCTCTGTTAGAGATGTTCCTTAACAAATGGGTCAAGGGATCATGATTATAAAACCTGGCATTCCCATTTCATAATAAAAGGGGACATTTTACGAAGACACCCCTCAGGAAGGAACAAAACCTGTGGTTTAAAAAAAGGAGACACAGCTGGGTAATGTGAGGGTTTGTGCTCTGATTGTTCCAAAGGAATTGAGACAAACAATGCTAAAGTGTTACTGTCTGATTTCTCCCCTGTCCTAGACAGTAATTACAATACTAGTGTTTTAATGCTGATGTGTTTCTTGCTTTGTATAACTAATTGCTTCTGTAAAGAAGATGTAGGCCAGAAGGAAGTCTCATAGAGGCTTTCCCGAAGACAAAACCCTCTAGATAGACCAATACAATTATGTAGCACAACCTTGATGGCAGGTAGAGTGTTTCATAGACCTGTGTGTGTTACGCAGATAGTAATGCGTATCTGAGATGCAAGGGGGCTAAGCTTCTCAGTGAAGATGGTGCCAGACTTTTGAAGTTTCAACCATATCCATTTTCGGCCCGTCTTTGAAAAGGGAGACGGCTCGATAAAAAATGTTGCCGATTGCATTAACCTCAGCCCTCTGCAGAGGCTTGCTTTTTTCCTCCATGTGAAATGAAACTGTCTACAAAACAAACCTTTATGTTTGTTTAGAGATGGAGAGATTTGGCAAAAATCCCTCAGCAGTAGTTATCCCCCCCAAAAATGTTTTAGTGCATGCTGGCTTGGTGGTGAACTTTTTTTTTTTTTTTTGGGGGGGAGGGGGGGTGTAGTATAATGGACAGATGATGTCCTTCTAAGGTTGTGGAGAGTTTTGGATGCTCTATTTAGATGCTCTATTGGTTTTGAATGCTCTTTTAGTGTTGTAGAGACTCTATTGGACGCTCTATTATATGAAAGTATGAGGTGTCATAATAACCTTTTTTTTTTTTTTTTTTTTTTTTTTTTTTTTTAGTCATTTAGCAGACGCTCTTATCCTGAGCGACTTACAGGAGCAATTAGGGTTAAGTGCCTTGCTCAAGGGCACATCGACAGATTTTTCACCTAGTCGGCTCGGGGATTTGAACCAGCGTCCTTTCGGTTACTGGCACAACGCTCTTAACCACTAAGCTACCTGCCGCCTCTACCTTTAATGTTCCTCCCTCTAAAACTGACTCAATTCAAAGGAAGTTTGATAAAGATATTTCAATAAGAATTGCTTATTGATTAAGATACATGTTTTCTTGAGGCAAATAACTTTATTTTATTTTAATATTAAAAAGTGATATACAATTGTTTCATCATATTTTGATTAATAACTTGCGATCGTATTTCCAAAACTAACTGTGTTTCGTGGTGCCTTTAATTTTTGCTGACACCAATTTTTGCTGAGAACAGCCATAATGTGGCTTCAAACAACTGGGATTTGTATTCAGATCAGTGGTTTGTTTTCCCCTCTGTATTAAAGATTTGTTCTACCCTGAGCATATTTCACTAAATGTCATTAATTTGCTGAGGTTAAAATAACATGGAGTTGGAGTATGTAATGTGTATATAATTAGCCACCTGAGAGAAGCTACATAAAAGGCCATTACTATATAATTACCACACGATACAGCTGGGGAACAGGATCTTGGCGTGAATCGAGATTTCAGGAGTTTTGAAAGTGTACATTTTCCTTCCCATCCACATATGGGGTTGGGTGACAGGGCGCACAGGCTGCATGCATTTTGATGTGTTGTCGAAGTCAGCTATTTTTAAAAAAGTATTTTAGGCCCTTAGGCAACTTGTAAGTGCAGAACAGACCTTTGCATTCATTCTAGCGGTGTGAAATATTTGAATGTGGGAGTTTATGTTACAAGATGCTCCCTCCGAGTGTGCTTTTGTGGTACGAGCTGACTCTCGCCATCACATCCACATCTCCACTGTGATTTATGGGCCTTACTGGGCCCTAGGGCAGATATATTGTTGATGATAGTGTAACAGGTCTGGATGCTTCAGGTGTATAATTGCTAGTGGCTTGCTTGCTTGCTTGTGGAAATGGAATACTGGTTTTTCAATATGGCCCCAGGCAAATAGTATACAGCTGCCTCAATACAAAGACATGCAATAATAATGAAGCATGTAGCATGTAGCATGTTGCACTTTTGTTCTCATTATTTTCTACAGTATGTGCCCTTTGAATTTGTTAGCAATGCCTCACAGTTAGATCACCTTGTAAGCGTGTTGTGTGGAATAAACGTGCAAACAAAACTTAAAATGTAAGCTTACAACATCCAAGATGTTGCCTCATAGTTTCTGGCCCTTAAGCAGAGCTTCATGACAGAGTACCTAGTAAAAGCTGGTCCATGAACTCCTGTGTCATGTCTTTCTCCTCCAGGAATCGCAACAGAGCTCAGCCGATTTTAGGATCTATATCGAGAACCACACGCGGAACCCGGACGACCTGAGCCGGAAGCAAATCCGCATCTACCAACTGTACAGCCGCACCACGGGCAAGCACGTCCAGATCCTGGGCAAGAAGGTCAACGCCAACGGAGACGATGGGGGCAAGTACGGTACGGGAGAATTCCTGTGCACTTCACTTACAGACGCTTTAGCCAGTTCCCCTCATCAATGGTCTTTATTGTGGGAATTATCCCATGTGAACCAGGATTCATTGGACCTATTTTGGACCGCTACTGGTCAGAGTTGGGGCTACATTTCTAAGTAGTGAACTTTGACCCTAACTCAGCTACTTACTGATTGCTTGGTTAAGCCATTAAGATGATGAATAGTGTGGGAATTTGAGGCTATAAGCATGTCTGCCACAGATAAAGCACGGCTAGATGTACACTACCGTTCAAACGATTGGGGTCACTTAGAAATGTCCATGTTTTCGAAAGAAAACCAATTTTTTTGTCCATTAAAATAACATCAAATTGATCAGAAATACAGTGTAGACATTGTTAATGTTGTAAATGGCTATTGTAGCTGGAAACGGCTGATTTTTAATGGAATATCTACATAGGTGTACAGAGGCCCATTATTTTACATTTACATCATTTAGCAGACGCTCTTATCCAGAGCGACTTATCATTATCAGCAACCATCAGTCCTGTGTTCCAATGGCACGTTGTGTTTGCTAATCCAAGTTTATAATTTTAAAAGGCTAATTGATCATTAGAAAACCCTTTTGCAATTATGTTAGCACAGCTGAAAACTGTTGTGCTGATTAAAGAAGCAATAAAACTGGCCTTCTCGAGACTAGTTGAGTATCTGGATCATCAGCAATTGTGGGTTTTGATTACAGGCTCAAAATGGCCAGAAACAAATAACTTTCTTCTGAAACTCGTCAGTCTATTCTTGTTCTGAGAAATTAAGGCTATTCCATGTGAGAAATTGCCAAGAACTGAAGATCTCGTACAACGCTGTGTACTACTCCCTTCACAGAACAGCGCAAACTGTCTCTAACCAGAATAGAAAGAGGAGTGGGAGGCCCCGGTGCACAACTGAGCAACAGGACAAATACATTAGAGTGTCTAGTTTGAGAAACAGACGCCTCACAGGTCCTCAACTGGCAGCTTCATTAAATAGTACCCGCAAAACACCAGTCTCAACATCAACAGTGAAGAGGCGACTCCGGGACGTTGACCTTCTAGGCAGAGTTGCAAAGAAAAATACATATCTCAGACTGCCCATCTTAATCTTTTCTTTTAATTGGCCAGTCTGAGATATGGCTTTTTCTTTGCAACTCTGCCTAGAAGGTCAGCATCCCAGAGTCGCCTCTTCACTGTTGACGTTGAGACCAGTTTTATTGCTTCTTTAATCAGCACAGTTTTCAGCTGTGCTAACATAATTGCAAAAGGGTTTTCTAATGATCAATTAGCCTTTTAAAATGATACACTTGGATTAGCAAACACAACGTGCCATTGGAACACAGGACTGATGGTTGCTGATAATGGGCCTCTGTACGCCTATGTAAATATTCCATTAAAAATCAGCAGTTTCCAGCTACAATAGCCATTTACAACATTAACAATGTCTACGCTGTATTTCTGATCAATTTGATGTTATTTTAATGGACAAAAAATTTGATTTTCTTTCGAAAACAAGGACATTTCTAAGTGACACCAAACTTTTGAACGGTAGTGTATATATTGCCTTTATTCATTGAATCTCAGCTGTGTTCCTTCTACTGTTCTGGTCAGTGACCATACTGAGGTGGGAATACAGCTGATTGTTGTCATGGGAAGTAATTCTGTGTGATGCCTGGCATAGTGGTTTTCAATTCTACAGGGGGTCTATCAGTTTCTACATTCACTACAGTCTCTACAGTCACTGTGAGCATGGCACATATTCTATTCGAAGTTGGACGGTGGTCTAGGTGCGTTTGTATGGGAGTGCTTGCCTGTTTGCGCTCACATGTATGATTTGCCAACAAACAGGCTGTAATGTTGCCGGCCTGAGTCGACCGCACTGTTGTGTCGACTGTGTTCAGTCACAGATATGCTGAGGCGAAGTTTCCTCTCATTGCTTGTTAGAGCTTGAGTGGAAGCAGATTCAATGTTTCCCATGAAGACTTGCCAACCCTGCCCCCTCCCCTCAGCCCCAGTACCTGGCACCTGTGAACTCCCTGACACTGATTTAACAGGAGGCTTGGAAAGACACTCTTCTCTCATCTCTGCACTAATCCTCACTCAGTCATAACAGCAACCTCACAATGGAGGGTCAGAAAGCACGGCTGAGAAATGGAGCCGCAGCTACAACAAGGTCAGCTACCCCACATATACACGCGGATCAGAGGGAGTTATTATTCTCCCCAGGCAGGAGTGCTTGCCTTCAAGAAATGTGGTATATATAATGTGTCACATGCAATCCCACATAATTGATGTCACCATTTGTCCTACTAGGATAGCATCTTATATATCTGAATGCATAGGCATTTGTACAAATGTGTAAAAATCCATGTGAAACAGGCAAATGTTTTTTAAAGGCAGTTGTTGCACCTGTAGTTTCCAGTTGCACTTGCACAAGTCCGCCCTCGGCACGGTCGTTTGAGAGCCAGCACTGGGAATGCTGTGGGGCTTCTAAAGCTTGGCTGCAGGGAGCAACACTACACTAAAACCACTTTAAGCCAGGCTATCACAGTACAGCTTGCTTTTTTCCTTTGTAGTATGAAAGGGAGGGAAGAGGGGCAGCTAAGTGGGGACTTGTGGCGCTCTCTGTCCCAGCTCCTCCAACTCCTCTCAGGAGCTCCATTGTGTTTCTCAAACCAGGCCTCCCGTGAATTCAGAGAAGTCTCACCACTGTCATTTTATCCTCTTTGCTCCCTGGTTGAGAGAGAGGGATGTCTTCTTCCCCCCCCCCCCCCCCTCTCTCTCTCTCTCTCAACGTCAGTTTTTAGACGAGTTTCCCACTCCCCTTCCCCTCCAAGATTGTTTAAAGGGACAGTTTTGGAGATGCCCCTCCCCACACCCCCTGGCTCCCCCCTCCTGCCTCCGTTCCCTTGAGTGCCACTGAATAGGCCAGTGTGTTAAACAGATGGATCATCTTTAACTTTTTGATTGAGTGAGCACAGACTAAAGAGAACCTGAAACCTAATCCTGAGGGAGCGTAACCCCTCCAAAATGTTTGGCAGATCTCTTGCCCGCTAGGAACGAACAGAAACAAAGATGACTCCACAGGGGTGAAGGTTGTGACAGAGCAAAAGAAGCCGCTGGTGTGCTTGTTCATAATGGATCATTTCAGATGTAACGGCAGCTCATAATTTTGTTTGTGTAAACTTTATCACTGCAGGAAGATGGTACTGCATTGGTTTCTACCTCTCTGGGATTTATAGTAAATTGTCAAACAAATGTTTTATCGGTTAAAACTGTTTATGGACTGTATCAACTTAATGGATGTAAGTGTTTGAAAATAATGATCAAGTTGTGTTTCTCTTTCACCTTCTAGCACTTCTTATTGTCGAGACGGAAACCTTTGGGAGCCATATTCGAATAAAAGGGAAGGAGAGTGGGCATTACATCTGTATGAACAAGAATGGCAAAATAGTTGGAAAGGTAAGCATATCCTTGGTTGTTACTCTCTTGCCAGAGAACGGGGAAAATCTAACTCAATGAAATACAATTGGGCCCCTCTTTTTTCTCTTGTTTTCTAGTGATAATAACAGATTGTTTGAGAACACCTAAAGAGCGACTCCAGTGTGCACATTACTATAACTAACCATAGAAAAATGATTTTATGTGTGCTAAAGTTCGTATTTTTTAGCAAGACTAAGACATTCATAATAATACACATCAATATATGAAGAATCTACAGGTAACCACCAGAATAATGGAAACACTTGAGTAAATGAGGTATATAAAGTATATTGAAAGCAGGTGCTTACACACAGGTGTGGTTCCTGAGTTAATTAAGAAATTAACATCCCATCATGCTTAGGGTCATGTATAAAAATGCTGGGCAGACCATTATCTTGGCTACCATGGCTATGCCCCCATAGGATGACAATGCCCCCATCCACAGGGCACGAGTGGTCACTGAATGGTTTGATGAGCTTGAAAACGATGTAAACCATATGCCATGGCTGTCTCAGTCACCAGTTCTCAACCCAATTGAACACTTAGGGAAGATTCTGGAGCGGTGCCTGAGACAGTGTTTTCCACCACCATCAACAAAACACCAAATATGGAATTTCTCGTGGAAGAATGGTGTCGCATCCCTCCAATAGAGTTCCAGACACTTGTAGAATCTATGCCAATGTGCATTGAAGCTGTTCTGGCTCGTGGTGGCCCAATACCCTATTAAGACGCTTTATGTTGGGGTTTCCTTTATTTTGGCAGTTACCTGTATGTTCACTTGCCTAACATACAAGCCATAATGGAGAGTGCTCACTCAGTGTAACCCTGATAAAAACCCTTTGATACGTAACCTGTGCCTTTATTTTGACACTTCATCAGTCAATTATAGACTGCAATCCTCACAATGATCACAATGCTTTGAAAGGCTAATGGCCACATAGGAGGAATGCCATTGCAATTATACCTCTTGTTCACCAGGTGGCGCCATGTAAAATAGCAGCATGTACACTCTCCTCTGTATTTATTTGGACAGTGAAGCTAAAATTATAAATTTGGCCCTATACTCCAGCATTTTAGATTTGAGATCAAATGTTTTATATGAGGAGACGTTACAGAATGTCACCTTTTATTTGAGGGTATTTTCATACGTATCTGTTTTACCATTTGGGATTTAAATCACTTCATGTATTGAGTCCCCCCATTTGAATACGTTTTTTTAAATATACCGTTTGGGATTTAAATCACTTCATGTATCAAGTCCCCCCATTTGAATAAATTTTTTTTAAATAAGTATTTGGACAAATTAATTTATGGTGTATTAAAGTAGTCAAAAGTTTAGTTTTTGGTCCCATATTCCTAGCACGCAATGACTACTTCAAGCTTGTGACTTTACAAATTAGTTGGATGCATTTGCAGTTTGTTTTGTTTCAGTTTCAGATTATATTTTGCCCAATAGTAACTGAATGGTGAATAATGTTTTGTGTTATTTTGGAGTCACTTTTATTGTAAATAAGAATAGAGTATGTTTCTGAAAACTTCTACATTAATGTGGATGCTCCCATGATTACGGATAATCCTGAATTAATCGTGAATAATGATGAGTGACAGAGGCACAAAGATCATACCCTCAAGGCACGCAAACCTCTCACCATTAACCAATAACGGGATGTTAGCATTTTTTGGGGGGTATAATCTTTGTTCCTCTGTAACTTTCTCACTCATAATTATTCACGATTCATTCATCATTATCCATAATCATGGGAGCATCCACATTAATGTAGAAGTGTTCAGAAACATCTTCTATTCTTATTTACAGTAAAAGCGACTCCAAAATGATACATTATTCACCATTCTGTTCCTATTGGGCAAAAGATAATCTGAAACACAACCAAAACAAGCTGCAAATGCATCCAACAAGTTTTGAGAGTCACAAGCTTGATGTAGTCATTGGGTGCTAGGAATATGGGACCAAATACTAAACTTTTGACTACATTAATACACTATAAGTGAATTTTGTCAAAATAATTATGACATCTTAAAATAGTAGGACTAGATAAATAAAGTGCTTTCATTTCTAAATGGTAAAACAGATATGTATGTAAATACCCTCAAATAAAAGGTGACATTCTGTACTGTCGCCTCATATAAAACATTTGGGTCTCTATTAAATCAGTTGCGCTTTACCCAACATCCACATAGTGGTTGTTTTGGCTGTGTCAGAGGTGGAACTGCTTTAGAACTGCCAAAACCACAAGTGGCTCCTGGCATTATACCTAAAGCTGACATTGCCATTGGCTGCACAGAGTCGCATTAAAGGGATACGTCGGGATTTTGGCAATGAGGCCCTTTACTTCCCCAGAGTCAGATGAACTTGTGGATTTCCATTTCTATGTCTCTGTGTCCAGTTTGAAGGAAGTTAGAGGTATTTTCTTGAGCCAATGCTAACTAGCGTTAGAGCAATGGCTGGAAGTCTATGGGTATCTGCTAGCTAATTTTGCGAGCCAATGCTAACTAGCGTTAGAGCAATGGCTGGAAGTCTATGGGTATCTGCTAGCTAATTTTGCGAGCCAATGCTAACTAGCGTTAGCGCAGTGACTGGAAGTCCCATAGACTTCTATGTTTACAACTTACAACACAGGAGTGTGACGTGATCTACACCTCGATTAGGCTGATAGAAATCCTCATTATTTTGTTTAATGATTTTCAATTTGAGCGTCATTATTTCTATATAGCCTACACTTTCTCGTTCTGAACTTCTAACGCGAGTGGGACGGGTGTGGCTTCATGAAAATGATCAAGAGCAGCTGCTCTCCGATTTGACCGCTCCAATGCAGTTACACCTCAGACACCGCCACAACAGCTATGCGGGTGTCGGTTATCGGCGGTTAACGCTTGATCTGATTGAGTCTAGGCCTTGATCTCAAATGCTAGACTATAGAGCCAATTTTTTTTTTGCTTCCCTGTCTAAATACAAAAGTAGGGGAGTGTACATCACAAAAACGTATCATTCTTTTTAAACTCACACATAGTTTAAACTTACAAATGCAAGGTGTGAAATGTCTAGTAACGTTTCTGTGTCCTTAAAAGAGCTAAACAACAAATACAATTTAAAAAGGAATGAATAACAACTTTTGGAACTGTAGTAGTTCCATCTCTTTCTGGCTTATATGACATACAGCAATGTTTCTTTGGCAGTAGGTAAAGTAGATTTCCTTGATGGTTTGCCGTCGTGGAAGGCGGAAGTCATTGTTTCACAGTGTTAGAAACCAGGTGCTAAGTGTCTGACACCATGTTGTTTTCTTTGCAGCTCAATGGAAGGAACCAGGAGTGCGTCTTCGTGGAAGAATTCTTGGAGAACAACTACACAGCTCTCGTGTCGGCCAAGTACAAAGGGTGGTACCTGGGCTTCAACAGGAAGGGGAGGCCAAAAAAAGGATCGCGGACCACACAAACACAACAGGAAGTGCATTTCATGAAACGCCACCCAAAGGGTAAGGTGGACCCACTGGAAGAGTTTCGTTTCACTACAGTAACTAAGCGGACACGAAGGGCACGTCGCCTAAAACACAACCCCAAAGCAAACTGATTGTCCGATGGACAGCACACGCGCTGTTTTCCAAGGACATGTCAAGCTTGTTGCCTTAAAACCCCTTAAAGACTTCTGTACAAAGAACAACAACAAAAAAGAAAAAAAATCAAAGATGTTTTATTTTTATATTTCAGGAACATTGAACATCTCCCAACGGTTGGATGTTTCTGGGTAATTGTTATAATGTGTCTGTTATTTTATTTATACTGGATAAACTAAGGACGACAAAGGACCCTTATCGTCACCATCTTCTGCTCCTTTGAATTGCGAACTAAAGGCATCTTTCTGACAATGAGGGTGGAAGCATGAGTTTATAAATGTTATAAAAATCATCCACTAGATTTTATTGGAATACCTGTCAGTTTTGTTTGTGTTACCCCAGACAACATGGCTCCCATATTTTCCACTGGAATCGGACACCATGGAGACGAAATGGAGAGAGGTGACAATGGCAGGTGAAACAGTTTACCTAGATAACTGCTTAGCTTTGAGTGCAATATCTAACAGTGCCCACTCTCTCTCCCTCAACTCTCCCTCTGTGTTGATACCTTCTGACACGTGGTCTACTCTGGATGGAATGCGCTGAACACATAGTGTACGGTGTGATTTCTTTGACATTTTTGTGCAACCTATGATTCAGCTGAACACAACATGCTTTGACTAGCCAGGCATCAGACAGACAGGGTTGTAGTTTTGTTTAACCTGAGTTGATGTGGCTCAGAAGTGAACTGAGACAGAACCACTGACACTATTACAATGGGAAATGGAATATCACACCTTCTGTCTTACCTGCCTTACTGTGGTAGAAAGGTTAAAAAAACGAATGAATACTGGACAGCTTCTCAAACATTGCCGTACAAGTATATGATGTTATCTTATATACGTATATTTTGACACAGAGCAAGCTATCTGTTATTATTACCATCTGCATCCACCAATTTACCCTGCTTTTCATAGGCCTACAACCAAAAGTTGGATTGTATCACTGGTTGTTCATGGTGCACCCAAGCACCCATGTTCAAAGAGACATCCCATAAACGGTTAATCTCTAACATTGTGTTCAATCAAGCCAGTTATAATGTCGAGAGCACTGAATTGTTCTAATGTGTACTAGGAAAGGTATAGATTCATCCTACCCACCCACTATCTCCGTATTGTAAGACCTGACTCTTAAATCCTGAAAACCATACAACGAAAAATATGCTTATTTTGGATTCAGGGAACAGGTTGCGGCCATTACTCGACCTGGCAACCAGAGGAGTTGTGATCCCTACAGAACAATGTTGACCATTTTACCATTGACGACAAAGTTCAGCCTCTATTCCTGGGTACAGCTGTAGTAGCCTAGTATATTAGTCTACTACCTGACAGGTTTTGTATGAGATGCTACTAACAACATGACACATTTATGATTTTGTTTTTTAAATGTATGCAAAAAATTATTTTATGACTATTATAAGATATTTATTGCCTTTCTTTGTAAATACAATGTGATGAATTTATTTGGCCTCTGTTAATAAAATGAGGACTTTATTTAAAAAAAAGTTATTCCATGTGTTTAATTGTAGTTGAGGGGCAAATACTTTATATGTGACTTTTCTCTCCTAGACATTGGGATTATATAAATTAACTGGTAACTACTTTTTGCTAGACCTTTAGACTGATGTTGCAGCTATCACTTGGTCAGACATTGAGTACATTCCCTTCTTTGCATACTGCCAAGGTATGCATTTTTATATACAAACCTAAAAGTGTGAAGGCTGCTTGTAACAGCAGTAGACTTCTAGGTTGAGAAAGGTTGCATTGCGGAATCATTGAACAAGCTAATCTAAGGATTGGAAATGTGTTGTAATGGCTGACAAGTTAACTATAACCTAACCATGAACTTTGACAATACATTAGCTGGTCCATGTTAAGACGTCCTCCAACAGAACTTAGATGTTAGTAGTTACCTTTCATCACTTCTTTAATAGTTGGATAAAGTTGATGTTTTAGGAATACTGCATGTACTGACTAAGGCAATTCTGTCTACAAGGAACAAAAGTATATATACAGTGCATTCAGAAAGTATTCAGACCCCTTCCCCTTTTCCACATTTTGTTACGTTACAGCCTTATTCTAAAATTGATTAAATTGTTTTCCCACCCTCATCAATCTACACACAATACCCCATAATGACAAAGCAAAAACAGTTTTTTTGAAATGTTTGCAAATGTATTAAAAATAAAAAACGGAAATATTATATTTACATAAGTATTCAGAGCCTTTACTCAGTACTTTGTTGAAGCACCTTTGGCAGCGATTACAGCCTCGAGGCTTCTTGGGTATGACGCTACAAGCTTGGCACACCTGTATATTGGGAGTTTCTCCCATTCTTCTCTGCAGATCCTCTCAAGCTCTGTCAGGTTGGATGGGCAGTGTCGCTGCACAGCTATCTTCAGGTCTCTCTAGAGATGTTCGATCAGGTTCAAGTCCGGGCTCTGGCTGGGCCCCTCAAGGACATTCAGAGACTTGTCCCAATGCCACTCCTGCGTTGTCTTGGCTGTGTGCTTAGGGTCGTTGTCCTGTTGGAAGGTGAACCTTCGCCCCAGTTTGAGGTCCTGAGCGCTCTGGAGCAGGTTTCCGCAAAGGATCTCTCTGTACTTTGCTCTGTTCATCTTTCCCTCGATCCTGACTAGTCTCCCAGTCCCTGCTGTTGAAAAACATCCCCACAGCATGATGCTGCAACCACCATGCTTCACCTTAGGGATGGAGCCAGGTTTCCTCCAGATGTGACCAAGGCCCTTCTTCCCCAATTGCTCAGTTTGGCCGGGCGGCCAGCTCTAGGAAGAGTCTTGGTGGTTCCAAACTTCTTCCATTTAAGAATGATGGCCACTGTGTTCTTGGGGACCTTCAATGCTGCAGACATTTTTTGGTACCCTTCCCCAGATCTGTGCACAATCCTGTCTTGGAGCTCTACAGACAATTCCTTCGACCTCATTGCTTGGATTTTGCTCTGACATGCACTGTCAACTGTGGGACCTTATATAGACAGGTGTGTGCCTTTCCAAATCATCCAATCAAGTTGTAGAAACATCTCAAGGATAATCAATGGAAACAGGATGCACCTGAGCTCAATTTCGAGTCTCCTAGCAAAGGGTCTGAATAGTTATGTAAATAAGGTATTTATGTTTTTTTTATTTGATAAATTAGCAAAAATAATCTAAAAACCTGTTTTCACTTTGTCATTATGAGGTATTGTGTGTGGATTGATGAGGGGGGAAAATTATGTAATCAATTTTAGAATAAGGCTGTAACGTAACAAAATGTGGGAAAAGGGAAGGGGTCTGAATACTTTCCGAATGCAGTGTATATATTTTTTTGGTCCACATGATACAAATATAATTTTTGGTTAATCTAACATCTGAGTTAAGATGTGGGTTTGCAGACAGGGCCTGCATAACCTTTCACATGATGCAAATTGCAATCATAACTGGGATGTCCTAAACTTATAAAATCAGAGATAAATTGCTTGGAATGTTATGTGGACATCAAAGTCAAGGCTGAAAACCAGGATAAAGGGAGTTTGGCATCATTCAAATTGTGGAAATATGGAGAGATATTTTTGCATTTTGGTGTAGCCAGTGTACTGATGGGCTCCTTACTGGCACAACTAAATCAAGAAAGAGGACATTTTGCCTTGAGTCCATAACAGTTGAAAGACACAGAATGTTGAGAGAATAGCAGAGAGTTCTCTGCTGTGAACATTCTGCTATTCTGTAGTTCCACACAGGTATTTTATTAGAAATACTATAACTGAACATTGTGTTACTTTAATACAAATGATACCACTTTAATTCAAAATGTTGTGAGCCTCCTTCTGGCACAAAGGTTTGAGACATTTTTCCTCCTTAAAAACAGGATGAAGGAATGTGGAATAGCATGTCTTATAATGTTGTGCGCTGGAATGGTGTTTACAGTAACCGTCAGACTGAAAAATGGCAGTTTTGAGCAAAAAACATATTTTGTTTAAGTTCCTACTGATGTTATCAGACACCCAGTAGGCTAGCCACCTAGCTACACCAGATGAAGACGCTATTCCTTAATTGGATTTAGATGTCTCATACTCTGTCTGCTTTTAAAAATATCAAAATACAGATATTGTGCCTGTGCAAATTACTTACAGGGTAGTAATAATAAAAGAATGATATGCATATTAATAATGTCCCTCAACAATCTACACTGAACAAAAATATAAACGCAACATGCAACAATTTCAAAGATTTTACTGAGTAACAGTTCATATAAGGGAATCAGTCAATTGAAATAAATTCATTAGGCCCTTATCTATGGATTTCACATGACTTGGAAATACAGATATGCATCTGTTGGTCACAGAAACAGTGCATTCGGAAAGTATTCAGACCCCTTGACTTGATTTTGTTACTTTACAGCCTTATTCTAAAATAGATTAAATATATATATATTTTTCATAATCAATCTACACACAATACCCCATAAAGCAAAAACAGGTTTTTAGAAATGTTTGCAAATTTATAGAAATAAAAACGGAAATATCACATTTACATAAGTATTCAGACCCTTTACTCAGTACTTTGTTGAAGCACATTCAGAGGACATTCAGATACTTGTCCCGAAGCCACTCCTGCATTGTCTTGGCTGTGTGCTTAGGGTCGTTGTCCTGTTGGAAGGTGAACCTTCGCCCCAGTCTGAGTTCCTGAGTGCTCTGGAGCAGGTTTTCATCAAGGATCTCTCTGTACTTTGCTCCGTTCATCTTTCCCTTGATCCTGACTAGTCTCCTAGTCCATGCCACTGAAAAACATCCCCACAGCATGATGCTGCCACCATCATTCTTCACCATAGGGATGGTGCCAGGTATCCTCCAGACGTGACGCTTGGCATTTAGGCCAAAGAGTTCAATCTTGGTTTGATCAGACCAGAGAATCTTGTTTCTCATGGTCTGAGAGTCTTTAGGTGCCTTTTGGCAAACGCCAAGC